GTCGTGGGGCCTGAACTCTGGGCCTGGGTGCTGTCCCTCAGCTCTTCAGCTCAAGGCTAGTGCTCTACCACTTGAGCCACAGTGCCACTTCCGGCTTTTTGCTTATGTGGTGCTGAGGAATCGAACCCAGGGCCTCAGGCATGCTAGGCAAGCACTCTACCACTAAGCCACCTTCCCAGCCCATAACGGGCAATTTAAAGCAAGGCTCATATCTTCCCTCAATAATATCACTCAGAAAAAATAATAAAATAATACCAGTCAGAAACAGTGAATACAATCAATGATGGAGTCAGAGATTTGTGTCCATACTCATTCAATCTACATAAATGGAAGTGCAGAACCCTCCTAATTACCCCCAATCAGGAGATTGTGTGTGTGTGTGTGTGTGTGTGTGTGTGTGTGTGTGTGTGTGTACACTGATCCTGGAACTTGAACTCATGGCCTGGATGCTGCCTCCTGAGCTTTTGTGTTCAAGGCTAGTGCTCTACCACTGAGCCACGGCGCCACTTCTGGCTTTTTGGTGGTTAATTGGAGAGAAGAATGTCACAGACTTGACTGCCCAGGCTGACTTTGAACCATAATCCTCAGATCTCAGCCTCCTAGGAGGCTAGGATGACAGGAACGAGCCATCGATACCCAGTTCAGAAGAATTATTAAATGAAAGAGCCTCAATAAACATGAAGGATGTGTGTTTCGATTTTACAGTGGAGCCTTTGAACATTTTTCAAAGGGAACATGCTTACAATTAAGTAATAAAAGCAAAGTTCAAAAATCATATCTGGTGTCATTGTGCTTATGTGAGAAATAAATTTTATTTTTAGGAAGCATTGGGACAAAATGCTTCAAAAGATGATACGAATTGGGATTGTGGAGTTATTTCAGTTTTCTTCCCTGAGGCTAGGGTTGTTCAAGAAAATCGCATTTCTTCGAGGCAGTATTGAGATTTGAACTCAGGGCCTCACGCTTGCTTGGCTTGTCAGCTTGCTGGTGCTCTACCCCTTGAGCCATGCCTTCAGTTGTTGGGAAAACCATTTGGAATCCACGCAGACCACAAAGCACGGGAGTTGGTTACGGAGGGAGAGCTGAGCCCTAAATTCCAGTGTGGATGTTCTGCATGTCAGGGCTGAGGAGAAAAGAAAGCCCTGGAAAACCCAGGGTCACGGGAGGGAGAACGGGAGCGGCGGGGACCTGGGACAGTTTCTTTTTCATTGCAGACACATTTCATATTTCACACAGAACAAAAGAAAACGCTCTGTTTCTCCACTGGACCCCTGAGGCTTCTGGGGAATTTTTTCTTACTCTCATTTCCTCTCAGGAACCTGGTTAGAGAGGCAACTTTTCAGATTGTTATTATTTCTCTTTGGTTGCATTGCTCACTACAAAGCACACTGTGTGTAACCCCCAAAAACAGACACCCGCGTCGATTGAGATGCATCATATTCATAAGCAGCTTCGTTAAGAGGCAACTCCTTTGTACAACTACTTAAAATAATAAAACAAAGCAAGGTAAATGAACATCTATTATTTGTGCATATTTATGGGGTGGACTGTGATTTTTTTTGAGTAATTGGAGATGAGAGTCTCAGGCTTTCCTGCCCAGGCTGGCTTTGAGCTGTAGTTCTCAGATCTCTCCCTCCTGAGTAACTAGGATTAAATGTGTGAGCCACTGCCGCCCGGCTGGAGTGTTGTTTTTGAGATATAGATAGGTGTATGTACAGATATAATGTAATAATCAAATCAGAGGTTTTAGTGTATTCTCTCAAGCATTCATTGTTTCTAGTTCCTAGTGTGTGGGAGCATTCCAATCCTTTTATTCCACTTACTACAAAATATGCAGTATGAGCTGGGCACCAGTGGCTCACACCTGTTATCCTAGCTACTCAGGAGGCTGAGATCTGAGGATCATGACTCAAAGCCAGCCCAGGCAGAAAAGTCCCTGAGATCCTTATCTCCAGTTAACAACAAAAAGGAAATGGATGGAGGTGTGACTTGAGTGGTAGAGTGCTAGTCTTGAGTAAAAATGCTAAAGGGTAGCACCTAGTCCCTGAGTTCAAGCCCCAGTACTGGCAAATTGGGTAACTGAATTGTATAGAGAAGCCAAAATCAGAGAAATTCACACTCCAGGTTAAAAGAGAAGGGATATGCTGGCCATCCATTGTCTGATGAGGGAAAACAAAAACAAAAACACTCCCAGCCTGCTCCTGAGTCTTTAAAACCTGCCGTCACCCACAATTCAGTCTGCGGACCGAGGGCATTTTCATACTGTCTACCACTAAGAGTTTGTTCAGAGCCCTCTTGAGGTCTTTGTTCCTCAGGCTGTAGATGAAGGGGTTCAGCATGGGGGTGACCACGCTGTACATCACCGAGGCCGTGCCGGTTGAGTGTGAGTTTGGGGTCACCGCCGAGCTGAGGTACACACCCAGGAGTGTGCCGTAAAACAAGGAGACCACCGAGAGGTGCGATGCGCAGGTGGAGAAGGCCTTGTACCTCCCCTGGGCCGTGGACATGGCCCGGACGGAGGAGACAATCTTGGAGTAAGAATACAGGATGCAAGCAAAGGGAACACAAGCCAAAAACACAGCGGCTAGGTAGATGACCAAATCATTGAGGAAGGTGTCGGAGCAGGCGCTGTGGACCACCTGGTTGAGCTCACAGAAGAAGTGGGGGATTTCTGAGTGGGCACAGAAAGACAGCCGCAGCACCATCAAGCTTTGTAAGATGGCGTGCGAGACACTCACCATCCAGGAGCCCAGCACCAGCACCACACACAGCCGGGGGCTCATGATGGCTGTGTAGTGCAGCGGGTGACAGATGGCCACGAAGCGGTCATAGGCCATCACCGTCAGCAGAAAGATGTCCATCACTGAAAACAGTAGGAAAAAATACATTTGAGTAAGGCAGGATTGATAGCCGATGGCCCGGCTGTGCGATTGGATGTGGAGCAGCATCTTGGGGACGGTGGTGGAGGTGATGCAGACGTCCACCAGGGACAGGTTGGAGAGGAAGAAGTACATGGGCATGTGCAGACGGCGGTCAGAGGCGGTGGCCAGGATGATGAGCAGATTCCCGAGCACGGTGAGCAGGTACATGGACAAAAAGAGGCCATAGAGGAGGGGCTGCAATTCGGGGTCCTCTGAAACTCCCAGAAGAAAGAATTCCAAACTCTGCGTGTCATTCTCGGGTTCCATATGGTTGCTCTGGCTAACAAGAAAGGGAAAATAACACCACGCAGGTCTCCAACTGCAAGCTGAATAAAAGGCTATCTGTCATATATATTCTGCAACCGTGACAGTAGATCCAAAGTTTTCTGTGTGAATTCTCTCCCCCATCTCTGTTTTTTTAGGGGGGAAATCTCATTCCATTCTCAGCTTATTCTCGAGAGATCATGTATTTAAAAACAAAAACAAACTCCAATTTCTTTTGTGCATTTGAGGAACGCAATGTCATGATGATCAACTTGCAGCTAATTTCTAGGAAACAAAAGGTGTGTGTTCAAAAAGAAAACAACAACTAATGTTAAGCTGGACACTGGTAGCTCACACACGTGTGGTCCTAGCTACTTGGGAAGCCAAGTCTGAGGATCACAGTTCAAAGCCAGTCTGGTCAGGAAAGTCTGTGACACTCCTATCTCCAGTTAACCAGCAAAAAAAAAAAAGCCAGAACTATGGAGCTGTGGCTCACATAGTAGAACACCAGCCTTGAGCAAAAAGTCAATTGAGAGATCAAGACCCTGAGTTCAAGCCCCAGTAACAGCTAGCATGCACACATGCACGTATACACATACACACAGAGTAAATATATACATATATGCAGTGCATATATATATATATATATATATATATATATATATATATATAATGTACTGGTGGGAAGTGGAAAAGTAAATCTTACAGACTTTTTGCCTTGTGGGAAGGGTCAGGGAGAATGGTGAAGGTACATTGTATGGCTGTATCCTAAATAGTATATTGTCTATGGATGTGTGAAAACACACGAATTTCATTAGATCAGATTTATAAATCAAATGCATTCACTTGCCTTAATGATAATAAAATTATAAAAAGAAGTTCTCTTGCTGAGTGCCGGTAGCTCACACCTATCATCCAAGCTACTCGGGAGGCTGAGATCTGAGGATTACAGTTCAAAGCTAGCCCAGGCAGGAAAGTCCGTGAGACTCTTATCTCCAATAAGCCACTCAGAAAAGGCTGGAAATGGAGCTGGGACTGAAGAGTTGTAGTGCTAGCCTTGAGTACAAAGAGGCTCAGGGACCATACCCAGGCCCTGAGTTCAAACCCTAGAACTGGCTAAAAATAAAAGTTCTCTCTCTTCTTTAGCTCTGAGCTTTACAACAGATGGGTACCTAATTTCTCCTCTCCCCTGATGAACCGGAGCCTCCTTGGATGTGTGTTCTACTAACTGAAGCCACCCTTAGTCTGTCAAGCTCTCTCCCACCTGGGTTTTCTCCACATTCTCTTCACTGTCGATAAGAACCCTGCATCGCTGAGCTCGGTGTTCACATCCCTCTTCGCTAGGGCAAATAGACACATCAGACGACTGGATCAAACACATGCAGCAAATGACCGCTGCCAGCCCCCAGCTCTGCACTAGGCTGGATGGCGTGGGGCGGGTGGCCTTAGGTAAGTGATCTGACTGCGATCCAATCTCTCAAAACCTCTGCCTGGTGCATGCCACGAGCTCACCTGGATGGATGTAAGTGGAGACCTCCACGCGACTTCCAGATCCTTTCTGTGAGGTGGTCACCGACAGAGAACGAAGATGCGTAACCGGGCAGGCCAACAGAATGGGGGTCAGGCGTCCGTATCCAAGCCACGTGAGGACCCCAGAAGCAGCAGCCGTGTCCTGTGCAGATGAGGAGGGACAGAGGCAGGGTTGATAGTTACAGCCGGCTGTGTCAGCTCGCTGGGCGTCTGTCCCTCTGGTGATTCCAGCCTTGAGCAAGCAGGCCCTTTCCCTTGGGGATGTTTTGCTGCACAGAAAATGATTTCATCTGGCTGAGTCTTTGGTCCTCTGATAGCAGGCTGTCAGGTGAGGGAGTCTCTATTACCTCCCCCCCTCCATCATTGTGCGACTTCAAAAGGTCTAACTTCCTCACACCTTTTCCAACCCTCGATTAAAGTTGTCTCCAACTGACAACTTCCTTGACTTGGTGACTGCTGGCTGGCCCAAAGCACTCAATGTGTGATGGACACTGTTTCTGAGATTTTCAAGAAAAATTAATTAGGGGCCTTGACCGATGATCCCTTAACATAAAAATAATAATTAATACACTCTTTGGCTGTATGTTACTTTTCCCCAATTAATTAAAATACCATGCTTACAAAATACATCAAAAGGCTGTGTTTAGTCAAGTACTTTTGTGTGTATGTGTGTGTACCCATGTGCTCAGAGCATGGCTCTAATCCCCAGCACTGTGTTGACTGTTGGAATCTCCTGGCCACGGGTCAAGTGTTTGATTCTGGGCTGCTTTTCCAACACAAGTATCATCCCTGGGAGCTACTGCTGGCCACTAGGAGCTTTACACTCTGTGGGACAAACAGGTTCCCTCCTGCCTCCTGTCCCCTCCATTTGTGTTGTCAGGGAAAACAAGTACTGAAATTGAGGGGCCATGCCCTGATGCATCAGATGGCCAGGGTCCCCCCTAGAGGCTCCCATACTCTTCACCCTTGCATACCACCCAACTTGTTTACTTGTCAATTTATAGGCTAATTCTAGGTCATTTTTTAATACTAATAATCTACCAGGCAAGTCTGTGCAGATTTTTTTCTGGCCAAGGTCCCGCCTGGGCCAAATCAATCCATTCTGAGATGGAGTTTGCATCTGTAGATGAGGACCCTCCTCCAGGATCAGTCAAGGCAGTGACGAGATTCCACTCCTGTGTGGATGAGAGCAGAGGTCCTCCCTTATCTAGCCTTGTGGGTTGGGTCATGAGCCACGGACAGAAGGACAAACGTGATCTTCGGGGGAGCACCTTCCAAGACATTGCTGGGTTCTCCACCTTCATGACTCTGCCATTCCATCAGAATGCTTCTGTCTCCTCTGAGAGTCATCTGTTGACATCTGGTCTACCAATGGGCCCCCTTCTCTTAGCCATCCTGAACCCATTTGTGCAAACATGGGTTGAGATTCCTCATAGCACTGACTGCAAAGAGTGGAAAATGAAATAGAGAATTCTTATAAGGTGGCTCACGCCTGTCATCCTAGCTACTCAGGTGGCTGAGATCTGAGGACTGGGGCTCAAAGTCAGCCCAGGCAGGAAAGTCCATGAGACTCTTATCTCTATATCAGATTCTGAATTCCAAGCCCCAGGAGCAGCACAAAAAAAGAGGGGGAAGATGATAGGTAATGTATATAGAAAAATCTGGTCATTACAGTGAAGGACATAGTGCTGGTCTTTAGTAAGTTAAAGCCAGACATGCTAGTCATAGCATATGACTAGCTAGATACAAGGATTGTGGTCTGAAGCCAACCCAGACACAAAAGCACATGAGACTCATCACCAATTAACCACCAAAAAGCCAAAAGTGGAGCTACAGCTCAAGTGATAGAGCACTAGCCTTGAGCAAAAAAAAAAAATTAACAGAACAGTGCCCAGGTCTTGAGTGCAGGCCCAAATATTGGCATGTGCACAGACACAGACACACACACACACACACACACACACACACACACACACACACACAACTATATTTCGCTTAATTTAATTTCAATTTTTATTAGCATGTAATACTTCTATGCATCAGTGTGATATATCAACACCTGCCTAAAGTAATCAGAACATTGTAATTATCTTTTCCTTTCTTTTTATACTTTTTGTGCCAGCCCTGGAGCTGGAACTAAGGATGTGGGCACTGCCCTGAGCTTCTTTTGCTTCAAACCATGATCTTCATATCTCAGCCTCCTGTGTAGCTAGAATTACAGGTGTGAGCCACCAGCACCTGGCTTTTTCTCTTCTTTTTACTGCTCTGTATTTGTCATATTTCAAGACTTCATGTTCTCTATGTTCATTATATTCTAATCTTTAGGTTGTAAAGATGTATAAACATAAATACATATATATGTGTATAGAATAAAGAATACGTAAAAATATACTAGACTTAGCATACTATAAAAATATCTTTATATGTAAGGATATATATTGTTTCACATATATAATATAGAGATAATATCATATAAGTATATCATATATCTATCTTATTAGAGTATATGTACATATATATATAAAGGTATTGTGATTATAACATGGATAAGATGTAGTTCAGAATTTCCAGGAAGCCATGCTGTGGATGAATTGAAGCACACAGTAAATAAGAGACACTGAAAGGAAAGCAAATCAAGTACAGAGTTAGGGGAGTTTTGCATGCTATTCCCATTCTTTTAGAGATCATCTCCATAAATAAATGTCCACAACAACATCAACAGAAGAAGCCCACACAGCCCCTCCGCTGAGAATTGCCTTCCGTGTGCAAATTTCCATTCTGTAAACAACTTAAAACAAGTTGTAACTGTTGACCACCTTTAAAAAATATATACACCAGGCTGAATTTGTCCAAAGTGAGCACAGTTGGTTAAAAATAATGAAGGGTTGATCAAATATATAACTTCAGGGACTCTGGGACAAGAATGCCTGAGGGGTTACAATAAATAAAAGCAGAAAAATTGAAAATACTGGATGAAGTAAACCAGGCTTCCTTAGTTCTGGTGCCATGCAATTCATGTGAACCTGACCCGGGCCACCCATCCTAAGAATGTAAACAAAAGAATTCATCAAGTACTGCAGTGCACCTCACCAAGACCAGCAAAGGTCCTAGAGGACAGACTGGCTGCGGAACTAAGGAAAACCCAAGTTCATTGCTAACATTTAGGTCCTAAATGTCTCCCAGAGGCTCAAGTGCTAATGGTTTCATCCCCACATTGGAGAGGTAGATAACCCTTTTGGAGTGTGGTTTGAAAGGTTTGGGGGTCATGTGGGCTGAATTCAAATAGGATATTGGGAAAGCATTGTCTTTCTGTGTTTTTTTCACTTCCTGGGTCACGAACTTGATCATCTTTCACTTCCTGGGCCATGAACTTACAATGTGTTTCACATCCTGGGTCATTCACGTAGCAGTTTTTTTTACTTCCTGGGCATACGTGGACTGAGCAGCTTTTCTCTGTCATGTGCTCTCCAGTA